AGGGGAGGGTGATGTTAGGGCTTCAGGAACTGAGTTATGTGTCCCTGGAAGTTAGGCTATTGATAAGAAAGCTTCTTCCTCGTAAATCACTAGGACATTTGTAAACTGAGGGAGACTCCTGTCCTGCAGGACTGTGATCTCTATCAGTTAACCATTTGTCTTTCCTTTAGGGCAGCCAGGAGTGCCTGAGGAATGTCACATATATCCCTAGGGGTAGGGATGTAGGGTGCTAACTTCTGCTTTGTCCTCAGTTAGCCTTCTGCTCCCTCATCAAACTTCAAACTTCTCATTTTGAAAGAACATTCTTTCCTCATGTCTAATTAAAATTGGCTAGATTGCCAATGGCCTGCTAACTGATTTAACTTAAAACAGCTACTATTAATGAGCACTGGATGAAACATAAAGAAGGAGCAAAGAGGTGAGTCAATTTAAGGGATAGTGTCTCATGATCTATAATAGTAATAAAGAAAATATCTGATTTTGGCTGGGTCTGTGGAGTTGCCCTCACGCTATCTGACGGTTTAGGAGCCAAGCTGTGAAGCTGAAACCTATATTTGGACTAGTGTAATGTTTCATAATACATGAGTTTAATGGAAGCCAGTGATCAGCTTTGAGTTACTTGTCTTTAACTCGTCAGGGTGTAAATGGGCTTCAAGGTAATTTTTAATCTATATGTAAATTAGCTATTTCTGTAACAACCGTAGTATGAATTTGAGTGTGTGCAGAAAAGAGGGATTGGATGCAAGCAATATTTTGAAAATAATGTCAAGAAAGAGGCTGTACAATTGATACATGACATTCAATGAATTTGAATATAGGTTATATTAGGATGCTTTCAATGAAATTATTGTCATTGAAAATTTTCTGAGGCTGATAATACATGAAGTAATATGTAGAACAGAGAATGAAAATAAGGTTTTATTGTTGGTTGTTGAACTGTGTTAAAGGTCACACAGTTTTCCATTAGAGATCTTCCATTTGGCAGATTCTATATAAAAGTTGATTGAATTTTTACTGAATTCATTTTTTACTCAGATAGTAGAGTGACTTAAATTCAAACTCTTGTTTTCTGATACAAAATAATATGCTTACCCTTATTTAAATCTAGGTTTATAAGTAAATATGCTTTCATATATTTATACCTGTAGTGTGACGTGCTAAAAATCACAGAAACCTCAATTTTTCCTAATTTTAGTCAGAAGGAAAGCTGTATAAATATTTTATATCCTAAATCATCTAATCAATTCTTTTTAAAGGAACAGTGTAGCCCAGGGAAATGTTCTGAAGGATATTAATAAAAATTACAAGCATTCAAAATTCATTCTGAAGTTCAGGGACTATTAGTCTCCAAAACAGTTGTCAATTACAAGGAACAGACTAGAAAGCACAGAAGGATACAGACTGGGTTATTATGGCTACCATTTTCTAGTCTCTAATAGTTAAAAGGAAGGTGGGAAATTGTATTGGGGGTCGTGTCTATACCAAAATTAATTGGTAACTTCAAAACAAAACCTAGGCCTCACCACCTGAATTCTTTTAGTTAAAAATGGCTTTAATTCAGTATGCTTTGAATATATTTTGGGGGGGGGCAGTTAAATACATTTGCCAATGATTTGAATCATTATCATTAGGCCTGATCTACATCTAAAATACCAAATCATTGTCATTAAGATCAATGTTAAATCCCCTTAGGAAGAAAGAACTTCTGTACTTTACCAACTTATTATTTTGATTGTCCAGGGATGTTAAGCTCCCTGGTTCTTTAAATATTAACTCAAAGAATTTTTAAAATTCTGACTTTATTTGTATTTATATAACCCCCTGGAGTTTAACTACTGTGCTGGATAGTTCTCACTGTGAAGTGACTCTCATGCAATTGTATTCTTGCTGGGAAATGATTTTATTGCATAAGAAAATGAATGAGCAGGGACCAGTGAGCTGTGTCTGCTGATGGACTATAATTTGCCAACTGTGATGTCAAAGCAGATTTGAGATTTGTGACAACAGTTGGTGATTGCACTGCTCTGCAATTCTGTGGCAGCAATGAACCATGCCAGGCACAATCTCATTCCATGTTTTGCACATGTAGGTTTAGCTTACATAGTTATATGTGGAAAGCTTTCATGGGCACAGGTAATACTGGCTGGAATTATTGTTTTGGTACCGCATGTTTCATTACCGATGGCGCTGAAATATATTTCTCCATTGTCCGGAAGGAACAGTTGTACCCAGTTCTATCAAAGAACAGATAGAAAAGGAATGTTCACACTGTCTATATTAGAGGCTACATACTACCTGGCACAAATGATAGCTATTATTATTACTAAACCCACCATCAAGGTTTTCTGATATCATTGCCTTAAAAAATAAGACAGATGGGTTGTCTGTTAACTTATACACTACTTTTATGTGGCCTTTCAGAGCTCAAAACAGTTTGGTGTAAACCAAGTTAATCTGGCTGCCTTGTGAAGAAAGAGGCGCTTCTGCATAGGGTTCTCCTCACACTCACAAAATTCGGAAGATAGCCTGGTGGTTTTGGCAGCCACATTCTTTGAGAGAGTATTTGTGAGCCAGGTGCCCCAGGAAAAAATGGTGCTGATGGTAGGCAGACTTTTGGCCCCCGTGAACTTTGCCCTCTGATGGCATGCTGTGGTTATGTGACATGGCAAAAGGGACTTTGCAGATGTAATTAAGATGAAGACTTTAACATAAAGAGGTTATCCTCAGTTACCCACGTGGGCTCAGTCGAGTCACACGAGCCTTGAAAAGTAGAGAACGTTCTGGTGTCAGAGAGACAAAATCAGACAAATTTTAAGCATGACAAAGAGTCTACTGCCATAGCTGGAGGGGACCACATGGAGCGTGAGAAAGAATGTGGGCAGCTGTTAGGGGCAATAATCGTCTCCCCCCCCCACCCCGTACCCCAGGCTTATAGCAGCAAAGAAATGGGAACCTTAGTCCTACAACCACAAGGAACTGAATTCAGTCAACAATCTAAACAAACTTGGGTGCAGATTCTTTCCCAGCACCTTGAGCAAGGAATACAGCCCTACCAAGACTTTGATTTTGATATTGTGAGACCCTAAGGAGAGGACCCAGCCCAACCCACATAGACTTTTAACCTTTAGAGACTTTGAGAAAATATATTTGTACTGTTTTAAGCCACCAAGTTTGTGATAGTTTGTTAGAGCATCATCAGGAAACAAACAGTATCCATTTGTGAGACATCCCCAGATGTAGTTCTGGTATTTCCACTGGTCAGATTCTGTTTACATCCCTGTCTTATATTCCTCACCATTTAAGTTAATTCTCCTATGACTATGACATGTATGCCATCCTACAACACGTTATAACATCTATTAGCATCCTGTAACTTCTATGAGATATATGATTACTATAATATCCTGTGATAACCTATAACTTCTATGATGTACACAAAATGCACCTACAAAGGTAGGATGCATGGCTGGGGAAGTTACTCATCTGATCTAAGTAACCTGTATCTCTGGGAATGACTGAATTATATCAATATGTTTTAAAAATATGCTATCTCCCTCCCACCTTCATACTTTCTGCTGACAGTCTCTTCCTGCTAAGCAATTGATTTTTGGTAGCCTGCAATTTAGATTTAGTGGACTGAAATTTATCATATGAGACCATAATGTTAGGCTACCTTAAGGTTGTCATTAACAGACTCCAACACTACTTGCTCAGAGAGAATTGCCTCTCTTTGGTCCACTTTAGCTCAGAGAGCAAATTAACTCATTTGTTTACTCAGAAATTTGCTTCTGGAGTTAGATGGGAAGGATATGAGTTTACAGCTGAGTTAACTACGGCTAGGAGAGCCCTTTCCATTAATTGCTGGCTTTTGCAAGAAGCGTGTGATGTCCATTATTTCTGTTTCCTTTGCCAATTTGTGAAAACACCCAGAGGCTTAATAAGTGAATGTGCCTTTGCATCCTGAAATAAATAAGCAGGGCAGCCAATTAAGGATACATGCACATAAATAAAAATTATTTTCCACATTTGTGCCTGCAAAAAAAAAAAAAAGACTTAGATGGCATTTGTAAAATTTTCCCCAAAATGGTTAGTGTTGGGAGGTTCACTGGAATTAGGAAGGGCATTTCCTCATCTGTGGAGTCACAGAGCTGTGTGTGAATCCCAATTCCATCACTTACTGGTGTGTGATGTTGATTGAGTTACCTAGCCTCTCTAACCTCTTCACCATGGTGATAAGGACCTATCTCTTGAATCTGTAAAGTACGTGACACAGTTCTCCCAAATACCATTCATGGTGGTACTTTCACCAAGACAGTCTGTGGTCAACACCTTTTCTTTGATAGTTCTCCACACGTAGCGCATTTTATGTGAAACATTAAGCTAATAGGAATCTCAGAGATGAGGACTGGATGTATATGGAAGCTATCCTGTGTAGGTTCTTGGAATAATTAATGTAGAAATGTCACTGACATTTGCCCCCTAGAGCCAAATTATTTTGAAAAGTATTTATTTATTTTAGAGGGAGAGACGCGAGTATGAGTGGAGGAGGGGGAGGGGGAGAGAGAGTATCCCAAGCAGGCTCTGCACCCGGCTCATCTCATGACCCTGAGATCATGACCTGAAATCAAGAGTCAGACGCCCAACCGACTGAGCCACCCAGGCACCCTGAAAAGTCTTTAAATATAATTTTTAAAATGTTTTGTTTCTCAGGTACTATCTATGATATGTTAATATCATGTCTTTCAAGTCAAGTCTCAAACTTGAATCTGAAGTTATTTCTTGAGCATCTGAGAATAGAAATTGAACTTCCATATGCTGTGTTTATGATGGTAGTAGGGCATGTCAAGATAGGTCTGAACAGAAAAAAATTTAACATTTTCTGAGGATCTCAGAGAGAAAACTATCTTTTTAAATAGAGTACTGATATTTTTCCTTTGCTAGAAACTTATATTGCAAAAAAACATTCTGTTTGTTAAAACCTACCTTCTTTTTCTGCTTAGATAGGTATCGGTCCTGCCAGAGGCAAGTTGGAAATTTGTTCTTTATCTCAGTAGAGGACATTATGCTGATCACTTTAAGGTAAAGAGTTTCATTGTCTTCTAAACAATAGTTTGTCAGATAAAAAAGCATATTATTTTCTTTTTAAAAATAACTTGAAATATGAATAATCTTAGGTGAGTTTGTCTTAGCTGGCAGAGAAGGCATGTTAAACTGTTTGCAACAAATAAAAGACATTTTTTATAGAAGGTGGGGAAACTTACCATCTCAGAAGTATTGAATTTAGAGTCAAAAGTCATGAAAACCCAGAATTCACCCTAAGTCCCCTGTTTGTCTCGCTCCAAACACTCAGTGTCATAAGTTCTATACCTTCTTCCTCTTTCTCATCTGTTCAATCTTATCTCCTCCCTCCCACCCCACACTTGTCGTCTTTCTTCACATCTCCATTTTCTCTTGCCCTAGACCTTGCCAAGTCTTCTAACTGGTCTCCCTTTCTCCCTTTTCCCATCGTTGCTCCTCCCCTGCCTCCCACCACAATTCATCTCTACAGGTGTGTTTTGTTTTGAGAGAGACCGCATGTGAGCAAGTGGCAGTGGGGGTAGGGGATGGGCAGAGGGAGAGCAGAGGGAGAGAGAGTCCTAAGCAGACTTCATGCTAATTGTGGAACCCGACTCAGGGCTCTGTCTCATGACCCTGAACCTGGGCCAAAATCAAGAGTCGGTTGCTTTGCCATGCCAGGGGCTCATGATCTGACCTTTGGCCATTTCTGTGTTTTTAACCCTACCATCAAGCCCCCTACCAACTCCATGCCAGAAGTAGCTTGCTATTTTCAGCATCTACCAGGCTGTTTAATTCTCTGTATCTTTGCTCACCCTGCTTTGATGATCCTTTCCATTCCCATTTTCCTTATAAACATTCATCTTCTAGACTGAGCTCAATGCTAACTCTCTGATTCTTTTTGCCTAAACCACATAAAACTGTCTACTCGCCTCCTCAAGTCTTCTCTATATTTTGTAGAGACTTCTGGACATAGCGCCAGTCGTATTTTATTGCATTTGTTCACACGGCCATTTCCCACTTCCAGACTTAATCTAAATGATTAAAGCTGTATCTTATCTACCCAGTAGTAATGTGCTTGGCATCTAGCATGTACTTGCCACATTTCTGTGGAAAGAAGAAAAGAATGGAAAGACCCGGGATGGAGCCAGATGCTTGCCAGGTCTATGAATTGGGATAAGACACATAACCTCGGGGCGCCTGGGTGGCTCAGTTGGTTAAGCGACTGCCTTTGGCTCAGGTCATGATCCTGGAGTCCCTGGATCGAGTCCCGCATCGGGCTCCCTGCTCAGCAAGGAACCTGCTTCTCCCTCTGACCCTCCCCCCTCTCATGTGCTCTCTCTCTCGTTCTCTCTGTCTCAAATAAAAAAAAAAAAAAAAAAAATCTTAAAAAAAAAAAAGACTCATGAGCCTTTAAAAAAAAAAAAAAGACACATAATCTCTCTGACCTTAATTTTACTCACCTGTAAAATGACCATAACATTGTCAACTTTTTCCATTGTATTTATTTATTTATTTTTAGATTTTATTTATTTATTTATTTGAGAGAGTGTGAGCAGGGGGAGAAGCACAGGGTAAGGAAGAGGTGGGGGGAAAGAATCTCAAGCAGACTCCCCATGGGGTGAGGATCCCGAACTGGGCCAATCTCATGATCCTGAGGTCATGATCCCTAAGCCGAAATCAAGAGTCAGATGTTTAATCAGCTGTGCCACCCAGGCACCCCTCTATTGTATTTAGAAGAAAGCCAATCATACATACCCTCTAAGCACCAGCCCTATATATCATCTGCTATCTGCTTTCCTCTGGGACTTCATTTCAGGTCTCTCACCCCCTCTGTTCCCAGTTTTCCAGAGGAATTTGCCTTCTGATAGTTCACAGAATGTGCCAAACTGTTTTCTCACCCTTCCCAGCCTCCTTGCACATATCACCTTTGCACTTGCTGATTCCTCTAAATGGGAGGCGCCACCCCAAACTTTACTGGGTTGCCTGCTTCTCATCAAACATCACCTTCTCAGGCCTTGACTAATCCCCTCTCTAAAGTAGGTCTCTCCATGTTATGCTTGGTTATATTTTTTATTTTCTAGTATTCTTTTTAAAATTTATTTATTTATTTATTTATTCATAAAGATTTTATTTATTTGAGAGAGAGACCACAAACTGGGGCGAGAGGGACAGAGGGGGAGGGAGAAGCAGACTCCCCACTGAGCAGGGAGCCTGACATGGGGCTCTATCCCATGACCCTGAGATCATGACCTCAGCCAAAGGCAGGCGCTTAACCGACTAAGCCACCCAGGTGCCCCTCTTTTTTTTTTTTTAAATAACTCCATAGTTTGTACTATAATATATAAAATATACATTTGTACTAAATATATATTTAGTTTTCTGTTTTGTTTTATTTTTTGCTTGTATTCCCCACTGTAATGTCAACTCTAGCTGAGCGGGCCAAGAGAACATTGGTCCTATTTACTGTTTCATTCATAGGGCCTGACACATAGCAGACACTTTGTAAATATTTATTGATGATATGGAACTAATCTCTAAGGTTGATTTTGAAGACCAGGTACAGTATGTGAGTGACGTTTATAAACCAAAAGCACTACATAAATGTGAAGCAATGTTATTATCATAACCGGGGCAGGCATAGAGAAACAGGGAAAGCGTGTGCCAACTTCCATTTTCTCAGGAAATTAACATACAGCTTGACAACAAGTAATTACTCATTTTCCCAGTGTGAAATCGCAGTCTGACCAGTCCAGCAAGAGGGGACTTTATCACGCCAATGGGTAGTATTATTTCTTCATGTTGTCTGCGCTGACTAGAATTCTGGTGATAGGGAAGTTGTGTTCGTACTTTCAGTGAAGGAGGAAGGTGGTCTGTGGGCTCTGGGACCCAGGGTCCAGCCAGAGGAAATATCTCCTCATATATGGCTCTTCCCTCTACTCGATCTACTTTTAGCGTGAAAAGACTTCAATCTGGGCAATTAATTAAAATAGGGTATATCTCAGGCAGGTAGAACACCAGTGCAGGATTGGTAATAGATGACCAGAAGAGGAGAGATGGGCCATGATTTTCTGTGTGGTTTTTCCCAGCAACATACCTTTTGTTTATCTGATTTCCCCTCTCTATCCGTTTGCTTATCTGTAGAATGGGGATAGTAATATTTATTTGATAAGGCTGTTGTGAAAGATAAATATGTAAAGAGTTTGGAATAGTGTCTAGCATGTAATAAGCTCTTAATAAATGCTATTTTTATTGTCAACAGCCCATCATCTCTTATAAACATGGATCAGGTTGACAGGACTCAGTTTTTCCCACCTAGGCAGAGAAGGAGGAATAAGGTAGATTCTCAGCATGTCACCTAATGGTCAAACACACATTAGCCCCAGGATATGACCAGGACTCAGACTTTTTAGGGTGCTCCTGTTTATCAGATCAAAACCATCTTTCCCTGGTCCTTCTCCCTCATAGCTGTTATATCAGAAGCAGGAAGATGATACATCTTTGATTTACTTTCCCTAAGACTCAGAGGGCTCTAATAATAATTAACTCACTATTTTATATGACATAGAAGTACAGTTTAATAAATCATAATATTCTTCTGATTAGACTGTGTTAATCAGTTTACAGTTATTTTTCATTTTTCATTTTAGACTTCAGAAAAGTTGCAAAAATAGTACAAATTTTTTTTTAAAGATTTTATTTGACAGAGAGAGATATAGCGAGAGAGGGAACACAAGCAGGGGGAGTGGGAGAGGGAGAAGCAGGCCTCCCACCGAGCAGGGAACCCGATGTGGGGCTCAATCCCAGGACCCTGGGACCATGACCTGAGCCGAAGGCAGATGCTTAACAACTGAGCCGCCCAGGCGCCCCAGTACAGATAATTTCTTATAGGCTCTTCACCCAGCTTCCCCTAAGATTACTGTCTCACATTATCAATGTATAGTGATCCAAACTGAGAAAGTTACCTTGGCACAATAGTATTAACCCAAGTACAGACTTTATTTTGATTTTCACAGTTTTCCCACTCATGACCTTTTTCTGTTCTAGGATTGTGTCTAAGGTCCCACATTGCATATAGTTGTCATGTCTCCTTAGTCTCCTTACTCTGCAACTGTTTTTCTGTCTTTCCCTGCCTTTCATGACCCTTTTGGAGAGTTCTGGTCAGCTGTTATCTTGATTTGGTTTTATCTGGTGTTTTCCCACAACGAGATTGGGGTTATACATTATTGAAAAGAATAACACAGTGATGAGCCCTTCTCAGTGTAAGATGTCCTATTATGGGTGGTGTGAACTTTGATTGCTTGCTTGGTTCAGGTGGTGGCTGCCAGGTGTCTCAACTGTTATTATTTTCCTCTTTGCAGTCAGTTGATATCTTGGGGAGAGATACTTTGAGACTATGCAAATGACTTGTTTCTTCTCAAACTTTCATCCACTAGTTTTAGCATTCATCTGTGGATCTTGCCTGCAACAATTTCTGGTGTTTTAAGAGTGATTTTCTATTCCCTCATTTCCCCCCACATTTATTAATTGGAATTCATTTGAAGAAAGAGCTTTCTTTTCTCCATTTACTGATTTATTCAATTATTTACATCAGTATAGATGCATGTATACTAACTTGCTTTATTTTATGTGATGCTATCACTTTTTTGTTGCTCAAATTGTTCTACTTTTGGCCATTGTGAGCTCTTTCAGGTAGGGTCCTGTGGCCTTTCCACATTCTCCCTTTTTTTTTTTTAAGTTTGTTTATTTATTAAAGATTTTATATATTTATTTGACAGAGAGAGACACGGTGAGAGAGGGAACACAAGCAGGGGGAGTGGGAGAGGGAGAAGCAGGCCTCCCGCAGAGCAGGGAGCCTGATGCGGGGCTCGATCCCAGGACCCTGGGATCATGACCTGAGCTGAAGGCAGACGCTTAACGACTGAGCCACCCAGGCATCCCTATTTATTTATTTTTTAAAGTAATCTCTACACCCAACGTGGGCTTGAACTCAGGACCTCAAGATCAAGAGTTGCACACTCTTC